TTCCAAAAAAAAAAAATCCTTTTCTGAAAATATATTGATCGAAATCGGAAAATCATTTGAATAAATTATTATAAACTTACAGTTAAGAGAAGAAATAAAATATTGATTTCTCGAGTTTATCAAGGTAGCGTCTTCTTAAGATAAATAAATAATACGGTAAAAAAATTACAAAAATGCGATTAATACTTATCAACTGGTAAATACTGATACTATTTTTAGGGTGGTTGAGAAAATAAACAAACTACAAAAGCCGATCGCATAGCAAGAAAAAGCTCCCCCACCTCGTCTTATCCAAGCAAATACCACTTAAAAGAGTTATCAATGAAAAGGTTCTTTACAAACTCAACCGAACCAAACAACCCTTTCCCATCCCTACCAGAAAATGAAAGAGCCACCTTCGGCGTCGAAAAACGAGTGCAACGATATAATTCTGCCTCATAAAGGCATAAGCGCAAGAGGCAAAACCCCCGCCAACTGTTTGCTCAGTCCAGAGCTGACGGTAAATAGCGATCAGGAGCCAAGTTTGGCGATGCTGCTAACTTGTCGAGCGGCTGCTCGATCTGTTAACATAGTCGTCAGTCAGTCTCTAATAGCCTATGGCGATCGGCAGTCTGCAAAGGGGCAGAGATGATATGGACAGTTCCTTATGCCTCTGCTTCTCGGACCCGTGTACGTGCAATATGGAGAAATATGAGTAAGTGGGCATTTTTATTGCATTTAGCTGCTAAAAATTGAAATTCTTAAATTTCTGTTTGCAAGACCACATTTGATGGAGATCTTGATATGGTACCTCTGTCGCCATCTAGTGTTCACAAAGCCAAACTTTTCACGTTTATCGATTTTGGTTGTCAGTTCACTCTTGTTTGTAAAGGTACTGAGATATTTTTTTCTTTTACTTTTTTTATAGCTATAGATTTTATTTTTTGCGCTCCTTCTCTATTACGAATTTATTCGCCGGTAACTTCGTTTTCAGTACATTGAAAACGATGATCGCTAATGTTTATTAGCCCTTTTTTTTTAGACGCATTGCGAGAAAGTTTTTTACCCCTGAAGACTTTTTCTAAATAACATATTTATATTAAATGTTTGATTTTTTTTTTCGAAATGATAAAATATTTTTTTAAAAACAAATTCCATTTAAAATTATTTTATATTTCATTTACATAATTTATACCCTCAAATTAGCATAAATTGTTTATTATTATTATTACGTATTTTTAAAATAGTATATTTTTTATATCATTTACATAGTTATTATGATTTTTAATAATAGTCTTATAGGAATTATTAAATCATATTATTACAATTAATAAAATAAATAAATTGAAATAAAATGCCTATATTGTATTTAAAATTTGCAGACTTTTGATTGCAAATATTAACTGTTATAAGAAATATAATTGTTTCTTCATTATCGATAAAATTCATTCTGCCTTTTTATTTTATAGTAACTTGATCTTCCTATTGTGAAATAATATTCTACTATAATTTTAATCTGCTGCATTTTGTTAATTAAGTTGACTTTTAAAATTATTATTTTACAGTCGGAAAATATTTAATTAAAGCTCCCTGATAATATTTCATAATTAAAATTTTGTTCATATTTCATATATATGTCCTGATTAGTATGTATGTCTATTTAAATTGTTTATGAATGAATAATTTTAAATGAGTTAAAAATATTAATATACATTTGTCAAAAGGGATATATTTTAGTTATTGTGTGGTGTTTTATAAAAATTTTACTTTTTTTTTTATAATGTAACTAATATTAACAAATTTAAATCTTAACAGTATTTGTATTAGTTATATAATTGTTTTCTGTTTTCATCAATTACCTCATGTTGTTCAGGCATCCTTCCCCTGAATTTTCATCTATAAAACTAACAATTGGGTTTACATAGTTAAATGCTAATTAAAAGCGCAAATCTTTTTATGTCATACAATTTGTATTTATATATATTAGTTTTATTTTTTAAATTTCCATATAGGTTTTTTTTATGAATGTTATATATTTATAAACTTTCTATGCATATGGCAGATTTTTTTTCATTAAATAGTGATTTGAAGCATTATATCATCCTCAACATTTTATCAAGAATTAATCGCAATGCTATGAATAAAATTGATTCTTAAAACTTTTAGTATAAATTAAAATTTGTTTTAGAAATTAAAAAAAGTATTAATCTTGGTTTGTATTATTTCAGTTAGTCTAATAACAGTGTTTTTAACTTCTTACCTATAAAATATATAACCACTGTAATAAAACATTTACATCAACCTACGTTAAAATTGTGTAATTTAAATTGAAGCTTCAAAGATTAAACATTTGAATGTTGAATTGTTACATATGTTCATAATTGTTCACTAAAGTCACCTAATGGTGTCTGCAATTACAAGTCATTATTTAGCATTTATATTTTTTAAATAAATGATATTTATATTTCTGTTGTAAAAAAATAAATCTTACATTTTTTTAGGAAGAAAAAAAAAGATTTGATTTAAAAATGCGTTTCTAAGCTAGTAATTTTTCTGTATAAATTTAATCAATCTGAATTAATGAATTTTTTATCAAAATTATAGAAAAATATCTAAATTCAAAATTTAAATTGAATGTTAAAAAAATGTTTATCTATTAAAAATTTTATAAATAATGAAAAAACACAACTGAATTATTGAAGCTTAGTTTATTTTATCAAAAATAGTTCTATTTAATGGTATAATTCAATCTGTAATTATTAAAAATCTACGCATGTTTAAAATATTTGATACAGATGAAAGTTATTTCCAATTACATTTATTATTTTTCATAATGGATTTATTAGAAGAAAAAAAAATTTTTCTAAAATATTATAATAGAGGCGAGGTCAAAAAGTCATTTCTAAATATATTAATTCTAAATAGGCTAAGCTGAATTAGAGAAGCTAAGTTATCTCTTATTAAAAATTTTTCAATTGATGACAATTTAGTCAAAATTCTTAAATGTTTACATCAACAAAAGAAAAGAAAAATGCGTCCGTTTACTTATTCATATTATTGTTAATAAAGCGAAAGAACCTCAAAGCATACTTTATAATCAGCCTGACCGCTCTAGATGACCCTAATGTGACGCTACGAACCAAATCTCCCAAGCATTACAATGCAAAGGTGTGTAAGGAGAATGATTCGGTTCCAGTTAAAAAGAAAAGAGAAATAAGAATTGGAAAAAAAAAGAAAATAAATAAGATTGTATAATAATAAAAATAAAATAAAAAATGATCCTTCAGTTCGCGAGCCAAGACGCAAAACTGGTTTTTCTGAAGTTAGAGAATGCAATTGAAAGGAGAAAAAAAAGGAAAGAAATAAAATATCTAAAATGAAATCCAAAGTAAAGTATGTGTATGTGTTGTAATGTCGGAGGGTGGTTTGAAACTAGCGCCCTGGCCGGCTGCCAGATTCAGTGACCTGGTCTCGGGGGAGGAGAGGGAGGGAAGGGGGGATGAGTTGGAATTGAAGTGAATCAAGCAGCGTGTGTGAATGTGGGGACGGGAAAGGGGAGGGGCCGACCGACAATTGAACCCTATTATGAATAGATCATTACACAACATGTTCTGAATGAAATGTGTGACTTTGTGAGGCTTTGATCTAATAATTTTTAAAGGCTGCTTTAATTTTTATTGGTTTTAGAATTTTCCTTTGTAAATAAAATTAGAGCAATCTCCCACTTTTTTTGTAAATATTTTTTGTTACATGATGTTAACTTAATTACAATTTTTTTGAAATAATGTCTTATTAAAATAAACTCAAACTAAACATCTAAGAGTGATTTATAAAATAGTATAAATGAACCATTCAATTATTTAAAAATTCTTTTCTAGTTAGTGGTCATGTTTTTGTTATTGTTTTCAATAAAAAAATATTGACTATAGTTATACTCTCCAGACTAAGGCATAATTTGATTTGATGAAATTAAGCTTAAACATTATTTAAATATTGTTGAAGACTTGTTTTTATTGGAACATTAAAAAATATAATAATATGAATAAAAAACGATACAGAAAAGAAATATTTTAATTACCAAAAAAGGTGTTATTTTATAGAAATCTTATTTTTATAGAAAACTATTTTCGTGGTAAAATGAACATGTTCTTAAACTCTTTCATTAAAGGAAATTCGAAAGTACGTTGACTTCGTTATTTCTTTAAAGATTTCGCTGATAAATACTACTCTATTAAAAAAGAAATTTCCAACCATAATATCGTTCATATTTACTGTTATCATTATTTGATACTCAGTCAATTATACGATACCCTTGGTTTATCTTAAACACAATCTTGATTCATTTTAACACGTCATTATAATTGCATCAAATTTGCACCATGTCTAATATTATAAGTTAAGTGTAAAATCATTTTGAGATGGTGCTGTGTTAAACTGAAAATTAAAGTTATTGGAATCTTTTAGCGATTTATTAATCCAATAAATGTACATTTTTAGACTGAAATTTTGTCATACATAAAATACTATATTTTGTCAGTATATTTATCTTATTTTGAATTTTGTTTATCAATTTATTTGCTATGTTTTTATTGAAATATTCCTGTTTTTATCTTCAATCTTTTTTTCTACTTTTAACTGCACTAATTTTCTTCTGCACCTTTCCCAAGCTCTTTGCATGACTTGCTCTAAAGGATTGTATTTTGATAGTTTAATTTTCAAAACCAAAATGACGATATTATTTATAATAATATTTTGTTTTATATTTAAACTGCAAATAAAAAATAGTATATAATTTCAGTGCAGTATACTTTAAGGAATAATTACTTTTTTAAAAATATTCTGTTCCATGGAGAAGAGAAAAAAAAAAGTCTAATATACTTTAATTTATAAATGAATAGAATAACTAATTTTTTATCTATTTTCTGCAATCCTTTATTGTAACCAATCACCACTAACCTCCTAACTCCTTTTTCGAAGAGGTGCAGATTGTAATTAATGCTGTCCTTTTTTTAAATCTGTAGCTATTGTTTTAGTGACCCAACAATGGCGCCAATGGCATCCACTATGGGTTGGCAACAGGCACCGGGACAGGGACCCCCTCCTGCGCAGGGTCCCCAACAGCAACAACTCTCTGTGGTTACGACGGTGTGGGGTGTTACGACGAGTACACAAAGTGGGCCCATGGCACATAACTCATACGGAGGCACCAACACAACCATGGCGCAAACACCATATTCAAGTGGAGTACAACAAAATTCCTATCCTGGAGCAATGACACCCAAGTCCTATCCACCTCCTGTCATGAACACAAGGCAAAATGGTCCTGGTTATAATGGGTAAGTCATATTCATAAATTTGTTTAGACTCAATCGGAAACAATATATTAAGTTATTAAGCCACAAATTCGTTTTACTTGATAAGAAACAATATAATAATAACTTACTTAGCCTCAAATTCGTTTTAACTGATAAGAAACTACTATAATAATAATCTACTTATCCACGAATTCGTTTTATTTGTTAAGAAACAATATAATAACTTACTTAGCCACAAATTCGTCTAACTGATAAGAAACTACTATAATAATAATCTACGTATCCACGAATTCGTTTTATTTGATAAAAACATTATAATAACTTACTTAGCCACAAATTCGTTTTACTTGATAAGAAACAATATAATAATAACTTACTTAGCCACAAATTCGTTTTAATTGATAAGAAACAATATAATAATGACATATTTAGCCATAAATTCGTTTTAACTGATTAGAAACAATATTATCTTTTACCTAAATTAACGAATTTGACTCGACCAGATTTAATATTAACCTATTATTAAAAGTATAATAAGTGAAATAAAATTTGAAATATTGTTTTGCATTCTCCGTAGTTTCTGAAAGGCAAACCATTCAGGGGTACCAGTTCACATGCAGTCTCATTATTCTTTTAAAAGATATTTAATTAATATTGTTCTGTTAATGGTTAATAGAAAGCATATTCTTCAGTTCTTACAAAACACATTGACAGTACTTGACTTATTGGGCTCAAATTTTGACTTTAATGACCGTCTCCCTTGATCAAAGCCAATTTTAATAGACATCCAAGTACCGTAAACAGTTTCAATGGTAATATTCGCGGACTACATAAAAACGCGCGGACGACAGGTTGAAAATACCTGCTTTACACAATTTTTCACGTTACTAAGGCCATATTTCCATTAATTTCTCCTCTTTTTCGTGTAAATTTCTCGTCCTATTCTTGCAACTTTTAACACGATTTTTTAAAAAGTGATATTCCTTATGTTGTTAAAAGAGTAAAAATGCTCTTTTCAGTTGAATGCTGGTTTCACGGCCTCATGACAGGAAAAGCATATGATTTGTCCTTTTTCGCATCGTGCAATTAAGGGGATGCTTTACCGCTGGAGAAATGCTTCATGACGATTTCTCCTTTCATATGAACAAGTAATTTAAAATATAGATAAAGCTAGTTCGTAAAGTTTCAAATGCTAATTTTACTTTTTAATTAAAAATGTAAACTAATTGCAATGAAATTACTTATTGTTACGCTTTTGAGATGTCATCCTTCAATAATTTATTTGCATTTTGATATTTAGAAATAATTTTTTTCAGTATTCACTTTTCTTTTAAATATTTAAGTTTAATATTCCAATACAGATGATGCAGAATGTACAACTATTTAAAAACAGTTCCATTTAACATAGAATAACAGTTGCAAACGATCTTACTTAAATTTATTAATTTAAAATACTAATTTTTTTAAAACTATGCCGAGATACTATAAAATTTTCCGCTTCTATATAACTGGAGTTAAAACAGCTTCAAACGACCTTATTAAATTCAGCTTCAAACGATCTTATTAAATTTATTATTTCAAATTATTAATTTTCGCTTAGAACTATCAATCGTTCTGTAATTAAGATGAAAGCGACAATAGCGTATAACATTGTTTCATTTTATTTTATTTTTTCGTCATAAATTCACTGCACTTGAACCTCATAAGTTCATAGAAACCGATTGGTTGTTATACTTATTCATAGTAAATCTGTTTTTTGTCTGAATGAGTGAGACATTTGAATAAATTAGCGCACGCTGTCTTCTGGGAAATATTGAAACCTTTGGCGAGACGCATCACTCCCTTTCGGCGAAATCTGAACATGCGACGAAGTAAATAGACCGCATCTCAGATTTAAAAATAAAATGAAAACTATGGTATTTAGCTGTTGCGCCAATAGCCACGGAAAATTATTACTTCTTTTTTATAAAGATTCACAATTTGACATGGACTTCAGTCGTCAAATTCTTACCTCGTGAAGTAGCTGTTGCGAAGTGTTTTTCCTATAAAAACAAATGATAATTTCGAGTATCTCCTAGCTGGTAGTTGTTTGCGAGGTGTTCTTCCTTGAAAACAATTGATAATTGGAACTTGCTGTCCCTTAAAAGGTTTATGTTCGGCTCGGCCTCTAGCCATGCTTTCTAACTAAATAATTTATTAAACACTAAATGAGCGTAGGAAATTTCATAGCTGTTTTTAAAACTAATTTCAATTCACTTTTTAAAAAAATGTGTGAACTATAACTTAAAATTTTAAAATGTAATGGAACCGGTGTCAAAAGATTTTAAATTAATCGGTGTCTCTTTTTAAGCAAAACATCTTTTAACCAAAACATGTATTAAACAAATGTAGTAAAAAAAAAAAGATTTTAGTGATTCCTGTTGAGAAGAAATAATAAGGAAGTTATGCTATTTTTTGGAAGCTGAAGATTTTTTTTTTTTTTTACCTCTAGGTTCTAAGTTGATGTATTGCTCTCTCTGAACTTTAGTTGTGAACGTAAATATTTAGCTTATACGCTGTCGATGTTATGCATTTATTTTTGACCAATAAGGATAAGACCAATAAAGGTTCTTTTTTAAATTAGGAGCAGTTGCTGAATTAGATTTCTGAAACCCAAAATAGGCGTAATATTCACATCTTTAGTGGGAAAAAAAAAAATTTGATGATTTAAAATGCTATTAAAAAAGTTTTAAAACCTTTAAATAATTTTTAAAGGTTTTTAAACTTTTTTAGTAGCATTTTAAATCATCTAATCTTTTTAAAAAAAAATTGAAACAAAATGTGAAGTTAATTTTTTGAGCATTTAGTCCAAAATCTGTATTTTTTTTTTTTTTTTTCGTAATTCACTGATTTTGCATGAAGATATTATTTAGCATAAAATCCTTATCTTAATATTATGTAATTTGATATTTTATAAAATAATTAAAAATTCTAATTATACTTTATAAAGTTGCCAAAAAATGATTCTCATGCAATTTAAAATATTTGTATATATAGAGAGAGAAACGAAGAAAATAAAAAAATAAATAAAGAGGAATAATAAGTTTTATTTATTGTGCATAATCTGCAAGTATATAGAACTCATACAGGGTTGCCACTCTACAGGGAAAACCTGGAAAATACAGGAAATTTAAAAATCAGGGAAAATACAGGGAATTCAGATTTTTTCTTTACAAAATGGGAAAATACAGGGAATTTTGTTTCTTACTTTTGTCTTTTAAAAAATGGTGACCCCTCAAAGCGTAATCTATGGGATATTTAACCATGATATTTCAGCTATACTAAACTACATCATTTACTATAGCATTATTTAAGTATGTTCAGCTGTTTTTCTAGCAATTAAAACTAATATAAATAGTTGACCCAATATAGCTTAGCTAACACAAGAGCTCAGTAATTGTTGTTTCCTCTTAATATATCGCGTATAATATGAACAGGGAATTTTTTTCCAGATTTGAGTGGCAACCCTGTCATAAAATAAGTTAAAAATATAGAGAACGCATGGAAAAATTATTCAAATAAAATGTTCTAAAATTTTTTTGTGCATTTTTAATATATCTTTTTAATATTAATAATTCAATATTTTGTTTAAATATTTTTAGAAAAAAAGTTTTTCATAATTTTTTTTTCTTCACTTTTTCATCATTCTTTATTATATTATTTTCCAATATATATATATACAGTGAAACCCCGATTTTACGTTTTCTGTCGGACTAGCGATAAAAAACGCTCGAAGCGGAATAACGTAAAATCGGGGTTAAGAAAGATCTATGCACATTTTTAAAAATTGACACTTACCAGTCAAATTAATGGAAAAATGAGTAATCTTTACTTGGATTTCGTTTTTAGCTACAATTTCGTATACAACTTGTTCAATACTAAAAATTTTTTGCAAATTTGCTTCTTGATTTACATTTGCAAGTAAAAATTGTTTTAGAGTTTTAATGCTTTGTATCGCTTGATCAGCTGTTGGCACGTCTTCTGTCATTTCATCTTCATCGTCATCAGCATTATCGTCGGAATCAGGCATTAAATCACTTATGGAAGGGATTTCTGAAGTAATGATATCTGTCTCACAGTCGATGTATGCATCATCGACTTCCCGTAGATCCTCAACTTCAGACACATTACCTTCCCCTTCTTCCTCGAAAGTAACAGCGCCCTCCTCCTCCGATATTGAAAATCCTGCTTTATTGAATCCATTGATAATGCACTTTCGGACGACACTGTCCCAAGCTGAAGATATCAAATTAAGAACCTCAAGAACATGAATTTTTGCCTTAGAAGCATCCTGAAAGTCACCAGAATCAAGAAACAGAGATTTTCTATTTTCTAACCAGTTGCTTCCGGTAACTCTTTTTAAATGATCGTAAAATTCCTAAATCCAGTGGTTGAAGTTTGCTCGTACAGTTAGCTGGAAAAANAATTACGGTAAAATAACAGCAGCAATCAGTCCCATCCAATTAACAGGAATAGAGAAAATATTGAGTTGTCAACGTTAGGACTCGAACACCCTTTCTGTGGGTTATGAGATTGACAGATTAGTCGGTCTGCTATGGTATGCGCGCAGTTTCAAGGAGCGAAGTGGCTTCATTAGGTGGGTTTAGTTGGTGCGTTAAAATTCTGGTGTTTTAACCGTATTAAGTGATAACAGTTTTTCACAGTTAACAGTTTGATTACCATCTTCATTACTTAACTGTTTTGTTTGAATATCATAAAATAACAATTAAATAAACTGTCATATAATAATTTTTTCTGAGAAATTTCTATCATTCTCAGAATCATTTTCTATCATTTTCTTTTTCGCAGGAGCTAAATTAAGCATGCGAAGAATTTTTTTGGAAGAAATTTGGAAAAGTCTTTTTCAGAACGATTTTTTGCTGCTTTAAAGGAAAACGAAAACATTGTTTATCATAATTCGAAATTACTTTGGATAACCTGAATAACAAAAATGTGTTTGGAAGGGAGAGCAAAACATGATA